AGTAGTTCATGTCTATTATAAACCATATTGCAAGGTCTCTTTTCTTTTTCAATGTGTGATCCTTAACAAATTCAAAGACGTATAATTATTTTTAGGTTAAAAGACATATTTGGTTCCTGTACTTTCGCTAAATTAACAATTAGTTTCTGAACTTTAGTTTGTAACAATTTAGTCTCTCTACTCTCAAATTGGTAACAATTTAATCTCTAAACATTTTTATGTTATAATTTAGTCCCTTTAATTTAAAGTTTATATCAATTATATTCCTATCATGAAAATTTTTTGTTAAGTTTTTTACATCGGTAGATCAACAAACCAATAAGAGACCCAAATATATTTATACTTTACAAAGATTAAATCATCGTATGATAAAACTGACACTTAACTTTGTTGAGATTTTTCACGGTAGAGACTACATCGTTGCATACTATAGTTTATGGACTAAACTGTTACTAGTTTAAAAGTACATGAGACTAAATTGTTATAAATTATAGTTTATGGACTTTGGTTACTTTAGTGAAATTAGTATAGGAACGAAATATACTTTGTTTAACCTTCTTTTCAAAAAACAATGAGTTGTCAAACATTCATGGGCGGTTAGAGATAGGTCCCTTTCCGGTAAGAACCGAAGTGTTTTCGATGGACTTTGTCCTGTATGCATGCTTATTTTGTAATTTATTTATTTATTATTAACGTGTTATCGCGTGGACTGATCTATTTTTCTACCACGGGCAAAAAGGTATTTGCATTTTACATTACAGGACATCTTGGCACTATATTTCCAGAGGAACATCAAAAAGAACTCCTTCGCTATGCATATTGTCATCAGGTAAAATTGTTGGCCTTACTAAATTTGATTGAGATTAATGAATAAAAAGAGTTTTAAAAAAATACATATGGTTCCCTATACTTTAATATGTAATGGTTTAGACCCTTCTCTAGTTTAAAATTTGTACAAATTTAAATCATAAATTTTATAATGTCGAAATTTAGTCACGATAGTTTAACATATTTTTAATAATTTAGTCTCTAGTGTGAAAAATCTCGTTAAAGTATATAATAGAAGTTTTATTCAGGTAGATCAATATTCACTCAAGGGTACAGTATATGCTTATAAACTTTAGTAACTAATTTGTTACTTACTAAAGATAAATATTTTACCATTAAGAAAATTATTACACTACGAACGAAGTTGTTCCAAATTTTAAATTATATGAACCAAGTCTTTACCTACTAACATTTTGGACTAAATTATTACAAAATTCCAAACTATTTATACTAAATTGACTAAATTATTACAAAATTCCAAACTATTGATACTAAATTGATAAATATATATTGATATTCATGAGGTTTCATCTCAAAATAAATTAGATATGTGAGGTCTTAGACCACTTATATTATAAACCTTTTTTAGATATTTTATTTTTTCCATAGATATTAAAGCTTAAGGACAAAATAGTTACATTAGATTGGATCAAATGAGTTTTTTTAACCAACATAAGTCGTTATTGTTAGATTCCATTTGATAACCATTTTGTTTTGGTTCTACGTGGCACCCATCCACACATAGATATATATATTTTTTGAACCGTTTCAAAATCTAGCTAAATTTTAAAAGCCGGAGAAAAAAGTTTAGAAACTTGTTTTCGTTTTAAAAATTTGGCTAAAGTTTAAAAGTCTTTTTAAAAACGTGAAAACATATAAAATAAAATTGTAACCAAAACAAGTATAATTTAAAAAACCAGAAAATTCAAAATGAAATGATTATCAAAGAGTGAAGCTCTATTAAATATAATTGTAAACAGGGGCACATATTTCATGATAGAAATGATCTTTAAATGATTTTTCCATTTCAGAATGAAGATGGCGGATGGGGATTGTACATTATGGGAGAAAGTTGTATGCTTTGCACGGTCTTAAACTATATTCAACTGCGTTTGCTTGGAGAAGAACCCGATACCGATGCTTGTAACAGAGCTCGAAAATGGATTCTAGACCATGGAGGTGCTCTTTACATACCTTCTTGGGGAAAAATTTGGCTTTCAGTGAGTAGTTTATCAATAACTCTAGATGTTTTTTTTAATGAAATAAGGAATTTATGAGGATGAATTGCATGGAAATGTAGATTGAGTAGTTTATCAATAACTCTAGATGTTTTTTTAATGAAATAAGGAATTTATGAGGATGAATTGCATGGAAATGTAGATTTTGGGTGTGTACGAGTGGGATGGAGCAAACCCTATGCCTCCAGAATTTTGGTTGTTTGGAAATGCATTGCCTTTGAAACCTGGACATCTGCTTGGCTACTCTAGATTAACGCTTCTTCCAATGTCATATTTATATGGAAAGCGATTCGTGGGAACTCTCACTCCTCTCATTCTACAGTTACGCCAAGAAATATATACTCAACCATACAGCAACATAAAATGGAGTCCAGCTCGCCATTATTGTGCAAAGGTATTTGTTTGTTAACCAACTTATATAATCATTTGATATGTTTATATAGAGAGTATGAAACTAAATTAGTGAAAGAGGTGATTAGATCGAGGAGAGCTCAACAAATGAAGTCAATTAAAAGAAGTAGCCTATGTCCACTCTTTGTTTACGATTTAAACCAAATATATATTTTTTTTATTGAAGATGAACATTGAAAAGAAGAATGCGAAGAAGAACTTGAGTTTAGGAGAAATAAACATCTTACTGTTTGGTCATGCAAATGACCAACTTCGTGAAGCTCGGATTTAGGGGGCTGACGTACGAAAGAACCTGCATAGAGAAAATAAAAAGCTTCATTGCTCAAATAAGTCTCCATCCGATCTATTATTCTAAAGATAATAGTTTTGTATATCTGAAAATTGAGGTGTGTAGGGTGTTGAACTTTCAACAGTCATTGAGGAGCGGTTACGACCGTCCTGTAAATCACAACGTGTTGTCAGAAAGACGATTGAGTGTTTTTGTGACATCCTTGTTCGCGGAGCTATATCCTTTTGGCCGAGGTAGTCCGTGGCCGAGCTATGAATCAATGCGGAGATAGTTTATGGCCGAGGTAGCTCTTATGACCGAGATCTCTCTTATGGCTGAGAAGTACTTCTTCTGGTTGAGATATCTCTTATGCCGAGATAGCTTTTATTGGTCCACGTTTCATGTTGTTTGTTATCACTCAACATTGGCCCCTCTTTCGAGTTGTGATTGGATACGGTCGGCTCTGAAGTTCAGACGTGATGACCTTCTTTCATTAAGCTCATCATTTAGGATTACGCGAGCTCTCTATGGGGAGCTTGCGTTTAGGCCGAGGTGAGATCATGAGCTTTCTAGTAATTGCTCATCTTTTAGGCTTACCTTAACTCTCTCATGGGAGCTCACATTTAGGTCGAGGTGAGCTTTGTCGTGATAGTCCATCATTTAGGCTTTTGCAGCTCTCTCATAGGGGCTTGCATTAAGGCCAAGGTGAGTTTTGTCATGATACTTTATCCATTAGGCTTATGCGAGCTCTCTCATCGGGACTTGCGTTTAGACAGAGGTGAGCTTTGTTGTGATACCTCATTCTTTAGGCTTACACTAGCTTTCTCTTGGGAGCTTGTGCTTAGGCTAAGGCGAACTTTGTCATGATATACCTCGTCCCTTTAGGCTTACATTAACCCTCTCATGGGAGCTTTCACTTAGGCCAAGGTGAGTTTTGTCGTGATACCTCATCCTATAGGCTTACTCCAACTCTCTCATAGAAACTCACATTTAGACTGAGGAGCATCGTTGTAAGCTAATTCTTTAAACTTGACTCTAGGTGGTTGTGGTCTTCCAAGTCAAGGTGATCTTGATTAGTCCCTCCTGGAGATGATAATAAGTCTCTCCTTAGATTTCTTCTTTTGGCTTGCATGAGCTATCTCCCTAGATATCTCATCATTTAAACCAGATGGGATATCTAATGCTGGCTCATCCTTTTAGCTTAGGTGAGCAGTTTGAGGAGAGGTCATTCTCGATGTTGAGATGAGCTATTTTGATGGAGTGTTCATCATTGAGGTCGAGGTAAGCTACCAGATAGTTCGTCGTTGAGGTTGAAGTGAGTAATCTAATGGGAGCTCATCCTTAATGCCTATATGAGTTATTCTGATGAAGAGTTCATCATTGAGATCGAGGTGAACTACCTGATAGCCCGTCGTTGAGGTGGAGGTGAGCTATCTGGTGGGAGCTCTTCGTTGATGTCAAGATGGGCTACTTGGTGCAAGCTAATTATCCTAATCGAGGTAAACTATCTCGATCAATATGAACTATCTAATAGCTCCTCCTTAATTAAGGTTTTGATGAGCTATCTAGTGGAAGCTTGTCCTTTTCACCAATATGATCTCCCTGTTAGCTCATCTAATGTTGAGGCTGAGATAAGCTATCTGATTCGAAAGCTTTCCTTGTAGGGTTTGCTTGAATTGGATAATTATGAAATTCGGCGTTGTCTAGCTCAAAGAGGTTATATGACTTTAGACTACGAATTCCTAGAGACAACGCCAACTATTTGATCATGAAAATGACCAACTTCGCGAAGCTTGAACTTAGGTGGCCTACGTATGAAGGAACCTACATAGAAAACGTAAAAGATACTCAAGCTTGTCTGGGTCTAATTTATTGCTCTAGAGAGAATAGTTTCTCATACCTGAAAAGTCAGGCATGCGGCTCTATTTATAGGTATTGAACTTTTGACAGCAGTTGAAGAGCGATTATGACCGTACTGTAAAGTACGGCAAGTTGTCGGAAAGATGGTTGAATATTTTTGTGATATAGCTCATTCTTGTTGGCTGAGCTAATCCTTTGAGCTATGCTACAACCTTTTAGCACACCAAAGTTATTCCTACATAAATTGGAATATAATAATATTACTTCAACCGTCCCAAATGATAGTTTGGGTGGCTTGCAACCTCAAGAAACATCCTTATGGATATCGAGACAGATAGTGTGTATACCCCACGTATAGAGGTCAAAGGGCCGCCGACTCTTGAAAAATCAAAAAAATAATATTACTTTGGCCTGTCATCTCTAAATATATTATATCCACCCATTTCTAGAATTAACATTAGTTAATAAACAATTCTACTGTCGTTCTCATTTTATAAATTGAATAATATTTTGATCATTAAGTGGACTTTGAGTATCTGGATTGCATTGAACATGACATAGGAGGATAAATGCTTTGAGCGTTCATGGATTCAAAAGTTAGCGTGGGATGCTGTTCACTACCTTGGAGAACCCCTTTTAGGCAGTTGGGCTTTTAAAAGTGTAAGAAATCGAGCCCTCCAAATAGCCAGATTCCACATTGATTATGAAGACCAGAATAGTCATTACATCACAATTGGATGTGTGGAAAAGGTTAGCTATTGCATATAACTTTTTTTGGTTGGTCAATTACAGTATTTAATAGAAGGATAAATATATATTTTAGTCTCTAATATTTCCGTCTTTTTTGTCCTATGTTTTAAAAAATTTCAATTTAATCTCTTATATTTTAACATTTTTCACATATACCATTCTCGTTTTCGTTGGGAAATGTTAAAATAATTGGTCAATGATAAGCTTACATGACATATACTTATCAGTTTGTAAAACGTTTTAGCGAGGAATTAGGTTACCTAAGAGAAGAAAAATTCTAATTCCTTCCAAACGCGTACGGAAGCTG